AGCTCCCACTCGCCGCAACTAGAGAAAGCCCGCACAAAGCAACGAAGACCCAACACAGCCATAAATAAATAAATAAACTTAAAAAAAAAAAAAGATGGCAGGAACCTGCATCTTGGCTGGCACTGCAGAACCTCAGAATTAATGTTCTCTGGAGCCACCCACACCTTGGGACCTTTGAATATGTGAGATAAATTTTCTTTATTCCTTTAAAAATTTTTTTAATTGAAATACAGTTGTACAATATTTTATAAGTTACAGGTGTACAATACAGTGATTCTCAATTTTTAAAGGTTATAGTCCATTTATAGTTATTATAAAATATTAGCTATATTCCCCGTGTTGTACATTTTTCTTTCTTTTCTTTTTTTAAAATTTTTATTGGAGTGTAGTTGCTTTACAATGTTGTGTTAGTTTCTACTATACAGAAAAGTGAATCAGCTATACGTATACATATTTTCTTTATTTCTTAATGTAATGGTCTCCAAACATCATTTTTTATTATACTCCCAATGTTATTTATATATATATATGTATAGCTATACATATACATATATATATATATATATCTCTACAAGTGTGCTGATATATTATTTGCCCTTTCAAATGTACAAGCTTTATTTGTACCTGCCTGAGGAATATAAATTAAAAGAGGATGAGCTAAAGGAAAGTACATACTGAAGTTCTAATAATTTTTCCCCTTACCCCAGTGAACTGTTTTGTACACCCTCTTGGGATATACACCTGTTCTGGGGGCCCAGACGTAGGCATCATTTTGAGCTGGAATTTCCATCACCTGCAGCCAGAGGTCTCCTACAGATAAAGATGGCAGAGATGTGTGTTTTCTCATTTACTATCTGTCTCCCTCACGTGAGCTCCACAGGGGCAGGGACCACACCCATCTGGTGCAACGCCACGCTCCCAGCACTCTGCCCAGTGCCTAGCACACAGAAGGTGCTCAGTAAACACGTGCTGAAAAGAAAACCACCCCACCACTTCCTGGCTGGGACACTTTAGGAAAGCCACTGTCTAATCTCTCTGACCTCAGGTGCTGCATCTGTAGGCGCAGCTGGTAATGCCCGCTGGCTTCCAAGAAAAGGCTGAGGGGCAGCATTTTGTAAACTGTCAAGGGCTGGGCAGAGGGAGGGGATGCTGTCCTCACCTCCTGGATCTGACCTCCTTGGGGACGCGGGCCACATTTTTGTGTGGGCCACATGAGTTCCCAGGGCTCCTTGAGGACCGGGGCATCGAGGTCCTTCTCTAGGATGGGGAATTGGTGGCAGGGCTCTCTGGGAGTCGGTGAGGAGGAAATGGCTACTTCTGCTGCCACCTCCTAGCCTTCCCTGGAAGGTGCCATGTGGAATCTTCCCTGGGTCAAGGGGAGCTGTTGGCACTGTGACCTCACAGAGCAGGTGGGGATGGTCAGCCCAGTCTCTAGCTTGGCCCTGGAACTTCCCCTTGGAGGAACCCATTCTGACCAACTTTCCATTTTAAAGATGGAGAAATTGAGGTCTCAAGAAAGGAAGGGCCATGCCAGGGATTCTGGGGCTGGACAGGGGAGAGACCTGGCATGCCAATATCCAGGCCATGCTTTTTCTTGCTCCCAGGCCCCTTTCTGTCCCAATCTTCCCACATTCTTAGGCTGTACACGAATTTATTCTGTAACGTCGAGCTTCTCCTTGGTGTTTTGTATTTTACATAATACAAAATGACGTTTATGTGTTGTTGTCTTAATAAAGTTCTACTTTTTACTGGTGAAAAAGAAAAGCATACAGAAGGCTGTGGTTTTTCAGTTAGTCCTGCCTGTGAAGAGCCTATTTGGATTGTGGAGCTAAAAATGAATTCACTTCTTCCCCCTGGTGGCAGTTGCTCAAATTGCAGGCTAAGTACCTGTGGTAAATAGAGTAACTGTCCTCCAAAGAGGCTCACATACTAAAACCTGAACATGTAAATATTTTAGGTTACGTAAGGGGAACTGAAGCTTGCGGATGAGATTAAGGTTGCTAATCAGCTAACCTTGACATGGGAGAATATCCTAGATTATCCAGGTGGGCCCAGGGTAATGATAGGGGTCCTTATAAGTGTAAGAGGGAGGCAGAAGAGGAGAGAGATGACAGCATAAGGAGCCTAACTTGCTGGTTCTGAAGATGGAGGAAGGAACCATGAGCCAAGGAATGAAGGCCAGGAAGTGGGTTCTCTTCTAGAGTTTCTAGAAAGGAACAAAGCCCTGCCAATACCTTGATTTTAGCCCAGGGAGACCCATTTTGGACTTCTGACATCCAAAACTGTTAAGGTAATAAATTTGTGTTTTAAGTCACTAAGTTTGTGGTAATTTGTTATAGCAGCAATAGGAAACTAAGACAGTGCCCTGAAGAATATTTGGTGAAGGGGAAGCCCTGAAATGCTGCCACTGTCATTGTTACAAGGGCCTTTCATTGGTGCATTCATTTAGTCATCGAACAAGTATTTATTAGGCACCTGCTATTTGTTAAGCACAGGGGTGAGCAGAAGCAGCTCCTGTTCTCGGGGTGGAGGGTAAAGTGGCTGCAGAATAGCCTGCACATAGCAGGTGCTCATGGAACAGTGCTTGTCATTGCTGGTTGGGAGTTGGGGCTGGTGAGAATCTCCCTCCTTTGTTTCTACTGGCTGTCACCCAGTGTCCCCTGGTGCTTGAAATGTGGAGGAAGAGGAAGTGTTCATGCCTAGAGCAAACACTAAGAGTGGCTTTGGTCAATATTTGTGCTGCTTTCCGCTGAGTCTGCTGTTTGCCTTGGCTACAGCGAAGACCAGGAGGGCTGGTCTTATGCATCAGTGGATAAACTGAGGCCAGAGGAAGGATATTAGGGAGCATGCAGCTGGCTCCGTTCATTCCTTTCTGCCTAAAGAACGGGGCAGGGGAGCATGGGCTAGGAGGCAGGGCTGGTCCAGGGGAACTCTGGTCTCTAAGGGGAGGGCTGGATGGTTTCTTCACTTCCTGTCAGCTCTGTGGGCACTAGTGGGGACCCAGCGTGGGTGGGCCTGGACTCTGAGCCTGGTATATGGGCTGGTGTGGAATCAGTGGGAGCCATGGAGGGCTCTGGAGTGGGGGAAGGCCCTGGGGACCCTTGTGTCTGTACCCCAGGTGAGCCATGCAGAAGAATGGAAGGGCCTTCCCTGCAGTTCTGCCATCACCTACTGTGCACACATGTACGTGCACACACACACATGTCAGGAACCAGTCCACTATGCACGCATATACATACATGTACAGACCCACAGACACACTCAGTATACTAAGCCCACTTAAACATATTGTACACAAAACTCCCCACACCTGCACTCGTGTAAACAGGCATGTGACACCATAAACTAAGATGGCAACACGTCCATTTCATGTGCACACCCACACACAAACACACACTTTCCTCTGATGCCAGCAATTATGACCTAGTACACGTGTGTATGCATGACTACGCACACACAACCACACACAAACATAAAGACGCATATACCCCTCAGACACACATGTATAGACAAACCCATTCAGGGGCACACACAGTTCCCTGGGCCCCGTATAGCCAAGGCGGAGGCTGGAGTTTGTAACGCGGAGAGAGCAGACGGACTCAGTCCTCTGTGAGTGGGATGTGCATTTGGAGAGAGGCTGAGTGTTAAGTAGCAGCACTGGGTCCTCCACACGCTCTCGTCTGCCGCCCTTTGTGTTCGGGTTCCACGTCTGATGAGGGCGAAGTATGTGTGACCAGGAACAGGGCTCAGTCGGTTGGGGCTCAGGTAGCCTCCTAGAAGAGCTGGGTTTCCGCTTGGAGGCACAGGTGGAGAGGTCAGTCATCCCCCTGGCTTTGGGCATCCCTTTCCTCCTGGGCCTGGCCCAGGGGCAATGAGGGGACCTCCCAGGGGCAGCCCTCCTTCTAGAGATCTGCTGATCTTTGAGGCCCCAATGCTGCCCGGTCCCAGGGTCTTGCAGTGGTTGGCAGCGGGCTTGCTACGTGGACGTGGCAGCCCCCCTCCCCCCCACACACATGTGGGATCACACACTTTGGCAAAGGCCATGTTTGCAGGGAAAACACTTGAAACCACAAGCAAACCTGCCCCCCCCTGGATCCCCCACAGTGGGTCCTGTGTACCGGGGAGCCTCATAAAGCAGTTTCTACACCTGCCCTGGGCCGCGGAGGGCTTGGCTGGGACTGAGAATCCACTTACCCCGGGAACTGCCTGAGGTAGGAACGGAGATGGGGCTGGCAGTCCTCCAGGGAGGAGCCTTGACTTTTCCATCTGTTCAGTGGAACAGAAGTGCAGAAGGGTCCATCCCTGGTCTTGCTGTGGGACACTGGGCAAGTGCCGCCTCACTGGGCCTTAGTTACCCATCTGAGCAGTGTCCCCCCGGTCCCGCCTGACTCCCTCTCCCCAAGTCCACCCAGCTGGGCTGGGTTGGGAGGGGCCGGGGGCCATATGAGAGGCCTACGCTTAGGACATTCCTCACCTGGCACAGGATGAGGAGGGGATTGGACCACCCTGGGTCCTCCTCTGGCTGGGTTTGGACAACTGGGCACCAGACTGGGCTGGATTCCTGGCATCAGACGACACAGCCCTGGGCCTTGGAGTGCTGGGCCTGGGCTCCCTCCTTGAGACAGGAAGCTGCCCTCAGTCTCCACATCTGGGCGTCTCTCTATCCTCCTTTGGCACAACTTGGGTCCTGCGCCGGGTCCTAGTTTGCTGTGTGGCCCTAGGCAAGGCCATGTCTTCTCTGGGCCTTGGGGGCCGTTTCCAGACCAGATCCCCCCGTGGTTTCTGATGAAGCAGGCTGGGAAGGGGATTCTTGCCCGTGCAGAGATGCAAAAACTGACGTGTGGCAGGTCGTGAGCAGGGCTGGGATTGCCACTCACGGCTTGTGACGTCCTGGCTGGGGTAGGTTTAAGCTGTCCACAGTGGGACCGCTCTGGACAAGTTCCCTGATGCTTGTCCCCACCCCAGCACACAGATCCTGGGGGGCAGGGGCCAGGGCCGCCATGGCTCGGGCACGCGGGCTGGGCCTGCTGTTGGCGTTGCTGTTGCCCATGGTCGGTGCCTCCAGGCCGGACACCGTGGTCAGACTCAACAAGGAAGTGCTGAGCTACGGTAAGAGAGGTGCCGCCAGGCTGTCCTGCGTGTGTCTCTGCATGAGCGTGTGCTTGTGAGTCCATGTCTGTACGTGTGTGTACGATCCTAAGTGTACGCGTGCATCGATGAACTCAAAGCCCCACAGGGACCTGGATTTTCTCTCTCCTGCCGCTGTGTCCCTGGCCCCCAAACAGTGCTGCTGAACAAGTATTTATTAATGAATAAATAAATGAATGCGTGAGTGGGAGTTACATGCTGTGCCCGGTGTGCACATGTGCTCCCGTGGCCAAGTGATGTGAGGATGGGTCGGTTTGAGGGGCTCCTTTTGCTTGTGTGCGTCTGGTATGAGTTTGAAAATCCATGGAGATGCGCCCACGTGTGCTGGGGAGGGTACCTAACCACTGGCCTGTGTGCAAGGGCCACAGTGCAGGCCTGAACATGTGTACCGCTGTGGCTGTGCACCCTGGGCGTATGTATGCCTGGGGACCTGCATGTGCACGCGTGCTGGGGAGAGGCACATCTAGCGCTGCTGGGCTCACAGTGAGAACCAGCCCCTCTCTGGGCCCTTTTTGGGCGAAGCCTGTGTCCCATGTCTCTGTTCCCTCCTTCCAAGTCCTGTCCAGTCCTAGGGCAGAGGGCAAAATGGGGACATCTAGGCCCAGGAAGGGACAAAAGCTGTCCACCAGGTCTGCCCGGGGAGGCTTTTGGGATCCCACCAAGGCTGGGTCAGCGGTGAGAGATCAGAAGCTCTTTTCCCCAAGACCAGACCAAACTCAGATAACAACGTGAGAAACTCAGGTCAGACAGTGGAGGGGACTTTCAGGGGTCCCAGGTCACGAAGCAGCGAGGCAGTGGCTCAAGGAAGCTGCAGGGTCCCCGTGGGGCACACACAACCTTCTGGAACCTTGCATCCGGGCAGATGGGCAGACAGTGAAAGGGGTCAGTGATCCATGTTAGTGTGGCACGTGGATGACTGCAGGCAGGGACAGGAGGCCTGCTGCCCTCCCCTGGCTCCCTCCCTCTGCTGTGCTGTGTGAGCCTCCTTTGTCCCCAGACAGCCCTCCCGGACTGTCTGTTCTCACCTGCCTGTTTGTTCTCAGCGGAAACTAACTGCTGAGAACACACTGCACACACCTCTCCCGTGGCCGGGCTGGTGGCTTTTTACTCCCGTCCCATCCCGCAAGCCCCAGAGTTCAAGCCCCTGTCAGGGGAGCACTGTGGATGGAGTCCAGAGGTCTGGATGTGAATCTCAGCTCAGCCGCAGACGGTCAGGCAGGAGAGGGGCCTCGGGAGCATGGAGACCACCACCTTTATGCTCTAGGGTCTGCGGAAACAGGCCCAGAGGGGCACAGGGACTCCCCAGGTCCCACAGCGAGTCCGAGGGAAGTTCGGGCCTCTGGGCTCTTCCTTTGATGCTCCCTTCCTGCACCACAACCTCTCATTTTAATTCTGCTCATGTTTAACTGTTTAGTTAGCGCCCCTGTCAGCCCAGCAGCCCAGGTACGGGAGGAAGTCCAGGGCCTTGAGGGCCGGGTGCCTTGGCCCAGATCTGAGTTCTCCTGGCCAGGGTGCTCAGCGCTCGGAAAACTGGGCCTAATAATGTACTGACGTCATAGAATTTTGAGGAAAACTAAAGCCCGCAGAATAGTGTCTGGCACAGAAGAGCGCTGGGGAAGTGCTAGCCATTATTACTACAAAAAACAAATAGCCATGGGAGCTAACACTTACTGTGAACTGAGTCAGTCTTTACAAGGACCCCATGTGACAGGCACCATTCTAGTCATTGCATATGAAGAGGCGGGGGAAATGAGGCACGGCGCAGCCGCACAGATAGCGAGTAGCAGAGCTGGGATTTGCACCCAGAATCTGAGGGACTCCAGAGCCCTCAGCCTCCAGGTGAGGCGGTCCCCACCCCATCCCCGCAGGACTGGGAAATGCTCCTTCTGCCTAGGGGCTTGTGGAGGCTCCGGGGAGGTGGGGTCTGCTCAGATCCTTGCAAAAAGGCACAGGGTGTGACTGTTTTCGAGGAAAGGGTAGACACGTAGGGTTTGGAGAGGCAGAAGTGAGAGGTGGAAAGGCACGTCTGGAGGTGCCTGGTGGGGTCGTGCACCCCAGGCGGGCACATGGGGAGCCAAGTGGCCCCCCATGTGCCCGTGGACAAGGCCACCCCTTCCAATCTCTGAGTTCTCTCTGCCCAAGGTGTGGGGCGGATGGTGGGCAGTGTGGTCTCTCTCGGTGTCTCCTGAGGACAACCTGACCTCACCCTGCTCTGGCTGCTCAGTGGCTGAAGCCGAGAAAGCCCCTCTCCAGTGCGCCCTGCAGGTCACTGTCCCGCATTTCCTGGACTGGAGTGGAGGGGTGTTCCAGCCCACCAGGTGAGTGTTTCCCTCACCAGGTTAGATACTCCCACCTGCTGGCTGAGTGGGTACAAGAGGATTTACGAGATGTGACCAGGCATGGGGGCCTGGTGCCTCTTAATTAGTAGATTTCTACACCCGGGGCCAAGACTGTGGCTCCTGGGTCCCCAGGGCTGGCAAGACCCTTGGCTACTTCCTCCAAAAGCCAGACACTGAATCTGGACACAGATCTGAGCCTAGTTTACCCCTACAGCTCCCTGTAATGCAGAGAGGCTCAAAGGCAGAGGTAGGTGGAGGCACCTCAAACCCAGACACTTTTAGGGGCTGGGCTAATTGTGGGAACGCAGACTCATTATCGCCAAGACTCTGGATTTCCAAGAGAATCCATATATACATATGTGTGTGTGTGTATATATATATTATATATGTATAAGAACTCATATATGAATATATATGTTCTTATAAAAAGCACATATATTTTCTGACTCTTGCTAGCAATCATTTTATTTCTTCATCATTGTGATCAGCAGCAGCAGCAACAAACATGCAGTTTCTTCCTTCTTCATACGTAGCATCGTGAAATGGGTGCTACAATCTGCCTATGGTACAAAGTTTATAAATGCAGTGCACCGATACAAAGTTGAAGCCATTAAAAAGAGCTTCGGGCTTCCCTGGTGGCGCAGTGATTGAGAGTCCGCCTGCCGATGCAGGGGATGTGGGTTCGTGCCCCAGTCCGGGAAGATCCCACATGCCGCGGAGCGGCTGGGCCCGTGAGCCATGGCCGCTGAGCCTGCGCGTCCGGAGCCTGTGCTCCACAACGCGAGAGGCCACAACAGTGAGAGGCCCGCGTACCACAAAAAAAGTAAAAATAATAAAAATATTAGAATTATTTCTGTGCATTATATATATTCAAACTTGGAGCTGGGCATTCTTATGTTAACTCCTCTGAGCTGACACTACCATTTTATGAGGGCTCACTGTGGGCCAGGCTCCAAGCAGGATGTTTTCACATGATTGTCTCCTAGAAAACTCAGCACAGCAGCCCTGTGAGATAGGTACCACCAATCTTGTGTCCATTTTACAGAAGGAGAAACTGAGGCTCAGCATGGGGAATGACTGGCCCAGGGTGTTGCAGTAAGAGGGTACAGGGAGCCAGAGTTCACGGTCATCTGCTGCAATGTCTGTGACCCTGGGTGGAGTTTGGGAGTGCATCCGGCCTGCCCCAGGTGGGGCCATCTCATGTTGAGTGCAGGCCCCGCCTGTGTTAGATGGTCAGCAGGCTCTTGCCGGCGGGGAGGGTGGTGGTTGTGGGGTCTTGCATCAGTCAATGTGGGCTTGCTGGGCCGCAGTGCCACTGTGGCTCAGGACTGGTGTCCCTGCAGTGTCCCAGAGCCCCTGCATCTGATGCTACCTATGGCACTGCTGGCCAACACCCCTGTGAACCAGGGCTCCATCGGGTGGTCAGCATCTCTGGCTGCTTCTCTCTCTTCGACAAAGCCATCGTGCTTGATGGCTATAACAGGTGGGTGCCTGTTGGGGGCTGGGCTGCAGGATCCCAGACACCGAGGCCGTGGTGTCATTTCTTGAACTTTCTACTTCATCCAATCACCAAAACGGACCTGAGCAGCACACCCACCCGCTCCCTCAGTATCACACCTATTTTATGGCTGAGCACACTGAGGCTCAGAAAGGGGGAGGAAGTTGCCTGAGGTCACACAGTGAGTTTGTGGCCAGAGCCCACGTCCCCTCTACTGCCCTGCACCACATGACAGTGCGCAGTGGCCATCAACATACTGTATGGGGAGGGAGTCTGGGCTGGCAGCCACTGTTAGGGACCTCAGAGGGCTGCCCCTCCCTGCAGAAATGAGGAGTCTGAGGCCCAGGGAGGGGTGGGACCCCCCAGGTTCTCCCCGTGAGTCAGGTGGCTGCTCCTGTTGGCATCTAAGACAGACAGTCGCTCTACTTCCAGAGCGCCTGCTGTGTGCTGGGCGGGCTCTGGGCCCTTTCTTTGCATCATCTCACAGTAGTGCTACCGGGTAGGTGGAAGCATTTCCCTCATTTTACAGGAGAGCAAACGGAGGCATAGCGTGGTTAAGTGACTTGCCTAAGGTCACACAGCTGGCAAACGGGTTCAAACCCTGGCAGCCTGACAAAACCCCACCGCTGCGAATTCCTAGAATTAGGTCTACACCCTCCGCCCGTGGATGGGGGCTCACGGTGAGGCGGTTGAGTGCTTCAGAGACTTAAGAGGGTGCGACATTTACGCAAAGGCTGGACTTCTTCCTCAGAGAAGGCTTGGGTGTAAACCTATTCCCACCGGGGTCCCATGAGCAGCCCGTGTAACTCACAGCCCCCCACGACCCCTCACGGTCCTCATGGGCAGGGGCTGCTCGTGGTTCATGGACGGGGAGACGGAAGCCCAGAGTTTGATGCTTTTGAGAACATAGATGCCATCCTCCCACCTCCCCAGGAGGCCATTCAGTGAGGCTGGGAAGTGGCTACGGTCAGCATTTTAGGAGGCCAAGGAACCGTGATTTCCAGTGGATCCGCACAGAGAAACACTGACTCAGACCCACCTCTCAATGAGGAAGGGACTTTAGTAGGTGCGTCGCAGAGAAATGAGGCCCACGCAGGAAGCAGACCCGGGCCGCCAGCCCCACCCCCGCCTCGCCGGGCTCAGTGGCCATGAGGCCAGCTGGCCAAGGACGTGGCCGTGTCCGGCTTTTGCAACACCCTCTGTCTCCCCCGAGCCTGGCCTCATTCTTGCATCTCGGCCACTTCCGAACCTTGAGACCAATGACCCCCTTCTTGGCATCTCAGTTCCTCAGTTGTGCCTGTACTGTGCCCGGCACATGGCAGGGTGTGGAGTGGGAATCACTGGCCCCCGGCCGAGGGGATAGTCTTTTCTCTGGGACCTGTGGTTTTGCGGAGAGACAGGCCCCAACGTGCTGACCTGGAGCTCAGGGGCCCTTCCTGGTCTCTTCTTTTTTTTCTTTTTCTTTTTTTTTTGTCAGTATGTGGGCCTGTCACTGTTGTGGCCACTCCGGTTGCAGAGCACGGGCTCCGGACGCGCAGGCTCAGCGGCCATGGCTCACGGGCCCAGCCGCTCCGCCGCATGTGGGATCCTCCCAGACCGGGGCATGAACCCATGTCCCCTGCATCGGCAGGCGGACTCTCAACCACTGCGCCACCAGGGAAGCCCCCTGGTTTCTTCAGCACAGCCCCTGTGCTGCTGGCCCCGCTGCAGAATCACATCAAAGCTGTGCTGCGGAACAAGGTAAAGGACCTCCCGCCAGATCCCGCGGAAGGCGGGCGTCACTCACCTCCAGGCGCGGCTAATGAATGGGATCCCAGGCACGGGGGAGGTGGCGTGCTAGTGTTTTTCTTTTTTCTTCGGTAGAAGGCACTTCGTGGGGCTCCCCCAATTTCCCCATGAGGGCAGGGAAGAGGCTGGGGCAACGGTCCCGTGCAATGACGTGGGGACCCAAGCAGGGCGTGGGTTTGGGGCTGCAGGGGAGGGAGGCTCATCTTCTCGGACCAGCCCCAGGGCCAAGCTGGAGCGTGGGGTGGGGACGGTGCTTTCGGGGCTGCTTGGCTTGTGAAAAGAGAACACAGTGAGAGCGGGTGAGGGCCTGGGCACCAGAGCCAGATGTGACCTGGCTTCCAATCCTGGTCCCCTCCTTCCCAACTGTGAACCTTGGACAAGTCACCTAGCCTCCCTCTGCCCCTCCTTCCGCATCTGTCAGGCAGAGAGAGCGAACGTCCCTAGTCCCTGGCGGGCTGGCTGTGGAGGCTGAGTGCATTACCATCTGTGGAGACTTTACAGCAGTCCGGGGAGAGTGAGTGCTGCTGCTACTGTTGCTGTTTTAGTTCCTGTCATTGTCTGTGGGTGGTTGACTTGGTGAGCGATGGTGGCCCCGGGGCCAGGGTCCCACTGTCCCAGGGGAGCCAACTCTCCCTCCTTGCCCCTTCCCACCCCACCCCCACCTCTTTTAAGGGGCAGGAGTGGAGACCAAGTCAACCCACTGTGCGCCATCCCACACGCCCAAGAGGCGGGCCTCAGCGTCCCCATACTGCAGCTGAGGACGCCGAGGCTGGAGGGCTGAAGGCAGTACAGCCTGGCCCCGCCCTCTCCTCTGCCTCCTGGCTTCGCCTGGCCCAGCTGGGGCCGCCCCCGGCCTTGTACTTTCCCCTCTGTCCCACCTCTGTCACAGTGACCCCAGCTTCATCCACTTCTCTGGCGGCCCACTGGCCCCGCAGGACTCCAGTCCCCTGGACTGGGTGGCTGACCACTGCCTGCCCCCACTGCACGTGGCACCCTTCCACCTGCTGGCCTCTGGACCCCAGTGCAGCAGGCTACCGACCTCGGTCCCCTGGGCCTAGCTGTGGCCACCTCTGCTGTGTCCCACAGCCCCTGCCCTTTCCTCAGCACCCGCAGGCCCCAGCTTCCCCTCTGAATCCCCAGGGCCCAGAGGAGGTGCCGGAAGATGCCCACTGGCTGGTGGAGGAAGGAAGGGCTCCTTGGTGGCTGGGTTGGGAGAGCTTCTAGACAGGGCTCTAGACCCTCCTAGCCTCACCTCCTCCCACCCTGAGTGCCACCCGAACCCGGCCGCCTCTGTCTTTCTACAGCTGTGCCTGAGAATCTCCAACCTGGTGCAGGGCTTCAGTGTCCACCTGGGCACTTTAATTGGTAAGACTGGGGCCAGGGGGAGGGCCTGGGGTCTCTGAGATCCTCTGGGGCCCCCATGAACATTCAAAGACCCCAGCTTTGCATCAGGGTCCACCACTGGGAGGTCAGTCATAGGATGACTGAACCATTACTGGTGGAATATGGGACTCTCCAAATTCTAGAACAAGTCTTTGAATGTTTAGTGTGTGTGTGTGTGTGTGTGTGTGTGTGTGTGTGTGTGTGTGTTGGTGGGGCGGGTACATCTCGGTTTGCAATTGCTTCCTCCCCTGCCTGGAGATTCAGGGACCCCGTCCTCCCCTGGTTTAGCTGCCATGTCTATCTCCCACATTCTCTGCTGGACTCTCTTCCTGCCCCCCGCAGTCAGGGCTCAGGCCCTTATACTCCTCCTTCGGGACATCTCTCCCTGGAGGCCCCACAGGCTCCTCTGACGTAGCACATCCTCGACAGAACTCAAGCTCTCCTGCTCCCAGGTGCCCATGCAGCTGTTTCCCACCTCAGGGGCCACACACCACCCTGCAGGGGCCCAGAGCCAAGGCTTCCCCCCCTCTGCATTTTCCATCAGCCTTGTTCCACGCCTGATTTTTCCAGGGATCCTCGTTATCCAGGGAGTGCTAGGAGTGTACCAGGACACGGCCACTGTCAGACTAGTCCCTCCAGAAGCAGACCCTGAGATGCGGATTTTAGTGCAAATGGTTCAAATGGGAGTTGGTCCAAGGGAGAACTGGCTAGGGAGGGGCTGTGAGACCGGGAGGGAAGGGCGCCGCTGGGGGTACCTGAGGCTCACTCCCACTGGGGTCCCACTGGGGTCCCACTGGGGACTGAGTTGAACATGCCTAGTGTGATCCTACCTCAGGGGCAGGAACCGGGGTCTGTATCCACCAACTCCCATCAGTCACTGGTCACCTCCCCACCGCCCGCACACCTTCCTCCACCGCTGCTGACAGAGTCCCAGGGGCTCCCAGCCCTACACACGGTCTGCTTAGAACTATGCATCCTAAACAAGGCTTGGGCAGGTCCTCAACTTACAATATGGAGCTAAAAGCTACAAAAGTAAGTCAGCTTCATCTTTTTTGTGGTATTTATCAATATAGAAGAACAACACTGGCAATTACGCACCTATCCCCAGACTGATCAAAGAATGCATCCTTTGTAGATTGGGGGGTGATATTTTCTCAGTGAGCCCCAAGCATAATCCAGGGTGTCCTCTGTTTTTTCACAAACCCGATTTGAAGCTTCTCCTGTTTGAAGTGCACCTTCTTCTACCCGATGGCTTTGCCTGGGATTCTGGTGTTGCTTCTGTGTTACTGTCATTGACTGTGTGAAATCCAGAGCCGCAGACTGTTGGCAGCTGCACTTGGCAATCCGTTGGCTCTGCCTTTGAGTCAGGGTTTGCATCTAACTCTCATACAGCCCAGGACAGGTGTGCAGGAATGGAGGGTGTGGGGACAGGTGTACGGGGCGACATGTTGGTGTTAAGCCAGGAGGGATGTCTGGCAGGGTCCACATTTATACTTAGTGGCTTCTTTAGTGAATATTTTCATATCAAGGTAGTTTTGGCTTTTTTGTGCAAACTTCTAACCGCAGTCCTATGAGGTGGCATCATTATCCCCAGTTTATAGGTGGGAAATCAGAGGCTCTGAGTCTAAAATCCTCAGCATGGTGCCAGAGCCTCCCATGAATCAGCTCACCTGGGTTTTCTCATCCTCCTCACAGGTCCACTTACTGCTCTGTCCACACTTCCCAGCCTGGCTCAAAGTCTGGGGAACATTGCTTGACTTGCCCCACTCCCCTCACTGTCCCAACCCCAATATTACCTTAATAGGAGGTACAGAGAGGCCACGGAAAATGGACTTGGAATCGAAGGACATGGGTGTGAATCCTGGCTCTGTTTCTCACTTGCTGTGTGACCTTAGGGAAGTCTCTCCATCTCTCTGAGCTTAATCATTACATCCAAAAATAGGAATCAAAATTTCTACTTTTCCCATGTGTCGCTACAAGACAGCACATGTTACGTACCTGGTGTGCAATAAACTCAATAAACATTAGTCTCTCCTTTCTCCCTCAGAGGGGTTGTTTGTGTCAAGATGCCTTGTAATTGGGTTCATACCAAAGACCAGCTCTTGCCCTTGTCTTTGAGGAATTTAAAAAAATCTAGTAAAAGAAACCTAAGTGTCCAGCACTAGGGGACTGTTTACATGAGTCATGTACACGTGGAACGTGGAGTAATAGGAACCATTGAAAAACGTAGTTTAAAGGGGCATTTGATCACTTAGCCATATGCCTGGCAAAATACAGTATTAAAAGAGCTTTACTCTAGCATTATTAGTTCCATTTTACAGATGCAGAAACTGAGGCAGTCTACCTTGAGAGCTCCTGCTTTTAAGTAAGCTATCATACCACTCTGTCAAGAAAACAAGGACACAAAACTATATATAGCTTTGCTCCAGTTTGAGAGAGAGAGAGAAAGTTTATTTCTGTAAAAGAAAACACTGGAAAAGAAATAAATTTGAGATTCTGAGTTATATTTTTTCCATATTTTAAGAATTTTCTATATGTCCACAAAAATATGTGTTATTATTTTACAATTTTTAATGTTTTTATTCATTTAAAAACATATAATATTTTTGATAGTGTCCAATTCTATGAGTTTTGACAAATAAATGCATATAGTCATCACAATGTCCATTGCAGCTCTATTTACAATAGCCAGGACTTGGAAACAACCTAAGTGTCCATTGACAGATGAATGGATAAAGAAGATGTGGCACATATATACAATGGAATATTACTCAGCCATAAAAAGAAACGAAATTGAGTTATTTGTAGTGATGTGGATGGACCTAGAGACTGTCATGCAGAGTGAAGTAAGTCAGAAAGAAAAATAGAAATACCGTATGCTAACACATATATATGGAATCTAAAAAAAAAAAAAAAGGTTCTGAAGAACCTAGGAGCAGGACAGGAATAAAGACACAGACGTAGAGAATGGACATGAGGACACGGGGAGGGGGAAGGGTAAGCTGGGACAAAGTGAGAGAGTGGCATGGACATATATACACTACCAAATGTAAAACCGATAGCTAGTGGGAAGCAGCCGCATAGCACAGGGAGATCAGCTCTGTGCTTTGTGACCGCCTAGAGGGGTGCGATAGGGAGGGTGGGAGGGAGACGCAAGAGGAGGGGATACGGGGGATATATGTTTATGTATGGCTGATTCATTCTGTTATACAGCAGAAACTAACACACCACTGTAAAGCAATTATACTCCAATAGAGATGTTAAAAAAAAAAAACCATGCATGTGGTCGTGTAACCACCACCACACTTGAAATAGAGAACATTCCACCAGCCCCCAAAATCTCTTTGTGCTGCTCTGCTCCTCACACCTTAATCTTTGACACCACTGATCTGTAGAAATGGGGTCACACTATCAATATATTGCTTTTATCATCATAAATTTCCAAAATATTAGAGAAAATAAAATGAAATCCAGAAGAGACAGTAGAAAATCAGACAGAAATCTGAATGCACACACACACACACACACACATACACACACACAGGCACACTTAAACCTTGGTTATCCAGAGTCTTTGGGGGGAGGAGTTCTTGCTAAGAGGGCTTTCCTGGGCTTCCCTGGTGGCGCAGTTGTTGGGAGTCCGCCTGCCGATGCAGGGGACGCGGGTTCGTGCCCCGGTCTGGGAAGATCCCACGTGCCGCGGAGCGTCTGGGCCCGTGAGCCATGGCCGCTGAGCCTGCGCGTCTGGAGCCTGTGCCCCGCAAAAGAAGAGACCACAACAGGGAGAGCCGCCCGAAAAAAAAAAAAAAAAAAAAAAAAAAGAGGGCTTTCCTGACAGTGAGGTTGAGGCTTCACCTGCCACGCCGTCTAGTCGTGTCCAGAGATGTCGTTCCAAGTGACTCACCCTTTGCAAATGTCCCAATCAGAATATTCTGAGCCTTTGGGGAACTATCCTTATAGGAGCTGAGTCCTCAGCTCGCCACCCTGGGGGCCTCTCCAAGGATCTGTGGCAGGCGGGCACTGCTGTGCTCCTGCACTGAATGGCCCCAAGGGGTGTGCCTTCTGAGTTCTTGTAGGAGGGGTGTGTTTAAGTGGAGAGAGAGTAGCTTTGGAATCAGACGGACCAGGTATACAATCGGGGCACGACTGAACTCACCAAACTGTGTGTGTGTGTGTGTGTGTGTGTGTGTGTGTGTGTTGTGTGTGTGTGTGTGTGTGTGTGTGTGTGTGTGAAGCATTCCTAACCCTACAGCGGTCTGGACCTTGATAAATGTGAGCTCCCCTCTTTTTCTCTGGTTCTTTCTTGCCTTTTGCAGGGGGTATTTGTGCCAGAAGTGACACTTCTCCTTCCTTCTAATTTGGGCTCTCTAGCCTTCCACTAATTGCGAAAGCAGAAAGCAAAACGGTTAGAACTGTATCTCAGCTAACAGTCAACAGCTTGTGAGCGGCTGCATCTTGGGTGTGCATTTTGCTACTTAAGTTTGCTTACTCGCAGGGCCTGGGTCTGGCATTGGTGGATGATGCTAAGAATGCCATCTTTTGTTCTTTACCCTGGTTTCATTTAGGCCTCAGCCCTGTTGGTCCAGAGTCCCAATGTTCCCTACTCCATGATCGACACACCCACCATCACCAATGACTACATTTCCTTGAATATCAATGTAAGTGCCTCCTTGTCAGCCCAGAGCTGGGGGCTTCTTGCCTCTGGAGTCCTTAGTGTTCTGGAAGATTCCTAAAGGAGCAGGGGAGTTGAGGGGAGAGGAGCTGGGACAGCCTTCCAGGTGGGAGCATGGCACATAGGCAAAGGTGTGAGGCTGACAACACGCGGCATCTTGGGTTGGGCGGCATCTCACAGCCCAGGATCTGCCATGGAGCTGCCTGCCTTTTGAGGCCCCACTGCTCTTCTCCCCCTTCTCACGCCCAACCCCATAGGCTGTTCTCTTCCTCCTGGGCAGACCCATCGTCCTGCCTGTGGATACCACCCCTTCGTGCTGCCACAGCACGTGGGCACCAGGGGTGCCATGGCAACTGTGGGCCTCTCCCAGGACCTGATTGGCTCTGCCATCCTGCTGCTGCAGAAGGCTGGTGCGCTCAACCTGGACGTCACAGGGCAGCTGGTGAGAGCTGGTCCTGCTGCCCAGGGCACGTGGGGTACACGTGCCCTGTGGCCCAGCCTGGGGAGACCGTGCTGAGACCAAACCATGGGTGGGTGGGGCAGCTGGAGTTTTGGGGCCACAGGGTGGCTGTTGGAAGGGTTAGACGGGGTTGATGGGGAGGCAAGAGGTGGCCTAGCTTGGGGAGTGGCTGCCCTAAAACCTGTCATGTGTCGGGGGCTGATTTCAGAAGTCAGATTACAACCCGCTGAACACCTCCATGCTGGGCCAGCTCATCCCCAAGGTTGGTGATGTTCCTGGTCATTCCAGGGGCTGAGACCCGGGATTGGGGTGGGAGGCTCTCTGGGCTGTGGGGTCTCCGCTGGCTCATATCTGCTTCACGTGGGTGTCCAGCATCTACCTTTCCATCTGCACCACCTCTGTCTTGGGGAGGCCCCTCCTTCTGCCCAGACATCACGCCATTTCTCCCCTCTGTGCAGTGCACAAGTGGTGCCCTCTGCCTGCGCTGTCTTTTCTGCTTCCTTTCCCTGATCCATCTTCAAGTCGAAGCTCAGGGATTACCTCCTAGGGGAGGACTAAACCCCTCATCTGGTCCAGGAGCCTCCTTGCGCTCTCACGCCCCTGAGCTGCCCTCCCTCTTGGCACAGGTCACACAGGTTGTGCCTGTCTTCATGTGACCACCCATCAGACTGGGTGTCCCTGAGGGCAGGAGCCGGGGGTGGACCCACCTCCGTGGCCCCGGCACTTACAGCACAAAGGTGGCTTGATCAGTGTCTGAGGAACGATGAGCAAAGAGCCCACCCAGACTTTGCCCCCAGGTGCCCTCCTCCCTCTCTTCTCCTCTGCTCCCCAGGTGGGCCATCAGTTACCTAAGCCCATGGCCCTGGTGCTCAAGGTGCGGCTGGGTGCAACACCCACAGTCACACTCTGTACCAACAACGCCACACTGCGGCTGCAGCCCTTCGTGGAGGTCCTGGCCCCGGCGTCCAACTCGGCTTTCCAGTCCCACTTCTCCCTCGATGTGGTGGGTGAGGTGGGCTGCGTGGGGCTGGCCAGCGGGTGGGCGACTCTCAAGAAGACCTCACTTCCTCCTGCACTCTCCTCACTTGCTCTGTTCTAGCCACACTGGTCTCCTTGCTGTTCCTTCAATGTGCTAAGACATTCCTGCCTCAGGACCTTTGCATGTGCCATACCCTGTGCCTAGGGCACTCTTCCCCTGGCTCTTGGCATGGCTGGCTTCTCCTCATCTTTCAGGTCTCAGATTAAATGTTGCAGCCTTCCTCCGGGCAGCCTTCTGGGACCACCCTGAGAAAGATGGCCCCCATCTCTCCAAACACCATTCTGCCTTCATGGCACCCACCACTCTCTGAAAGGATCCTGTCTGATTACTTTGGTTGTTGTTCACCTCCTCCAGTGGCCTGTGCTCCACAAACATCTGAATGAATAGGGCGGTAGGTGGGAGACTGGGGTGGCCAGCTGAGAGCTCCCACGTGGCTCTGTGCCCTTTGACCCTCTTCTCCCCACGTGTCCAGGTAGTGAACCTGAGCCTCCAGCTCTCCGTGTCCAAGGTGAGGCTTCGGGGGGCCACATCTGTGCTGGGGTAAGTGAGGCCTCCTGGACCCAGCAGCCTCAGTGTGTTCCTCCGTGCAATGTGCCTGCAATCACCCATCACAGTGTTAGTCAGAGGAGCTTGGGGAGCAGCAGGCGTGGTACATGGGTGGTGGGCATTAGGCCCCATTCCTAACCCCTCTGCTTCCCTTTCAGGAATGTCCAGCTCACTGTGGCCTCCTCTAATGTGGGCTTCATTGACGTGAGTACGGGGCTGGGGCCTCCAGAGACCCCCTCACTGGGTGGGGCAGGCCTTGAGCCCGGGAAGAGGCAGCATGAGCATGTGTGCTCACATGTATGTGTGCTATGATCAGGCTTCCTCCCTGGGCGCTTCGGGACAGTGGTCAGGCGGCAGCCCATCCATCGGACAGTCAGTCTGTCCCAGGCTGTCTGTCTGCTGGGCAGCCGGTCAGCCTCAGCTCCTCAGTGGGGTCAGTCAGCTGTCCTTTCACTCTGCCTGGGTGTCGATGGCTCGTCAGCCCTGCCCTCAGCCCAAGAATCACTGAGGCCGATAGTAAATGATCTGTAGAAGCCAGTGTCAGACAGTGTCGGCCACTCTTTCAGTCACATGATGTGCCTGGGCCACCAGCCACCATGCATTCCTTTGTCGGGTGGCCCATCCGTCTGTCCATGGTCAGTTGATCTGTCTGTTGGTCTGCTCCAACAGGGCAGCCGGTCTACCTGCTGGTCACGCAGTGACTGTCAGTCAGTCGGCAGTTCCCTGGGGCCTGATGCTGACACGACCCCAGGGGTAGCTGAGCTCTGCTTGAAGCCTGGACAGGGGTGACCTGTCCTCCTCCCTCCCCCGTGCCTCTGCCATCTGTCAGTCTGTCTGTGTGTTCATGTGTCTCTCCTGACCCCTCGCTGGGGAGAGCCTGTGGTCCCCATCTCCCTGGCTCCGTGGCTGCAGACGGACCACGTGCAGCCACTCATGGCCGCTGTGTTTGAGAAGCCCCTGCTGGACCAGCTCAATGGTGAGCTCTGCCCTCTGCCCTAGTGTGGCCCCTCTGGCCCCCTCCTGCCCCCCACGCCTGCTTCAGGCTTGGTCTCGGCCCCTTCCCACCTCCTAGGCCCGGAATCTGAGAGGGCGGCCTTGGGACTCCAGCTGCCTGTGCGTGCATCTTGGCTCGGCTGTTTAGCAGCTATGTGGTCTTAGCTAAGTTCTGGTCCCTCCCTGAGCCTCAGTTTTCCCTTCTGTAAAGTGGATATAGTAATAACAGCTCCCACCTCCTGCGTATCTGTGGAACTCCGTGTCGTGATGCACATGAGGACTTCAGCACACGGGCAGCTCCAGGTGGTACTTTGTTACCGCCTCCAGGCGGAACTTGATTTCTCCTTTGCCTCGTACAGCTCTCTCGGGCATGGGGGTTGCACTCCCCCACGTGGTCAACCTCCAGTATGTCACCCCGGAGATCTTTGTCTAGGAGGTGAGAGCCTTTGGGTGTGACCAGAAGGGACTCCTCCATTTTTGGAGGGAGGCTGGGCTCGGGGAGGCAGGGGCGTCACCTCTCTCCCTCCCTCCCTGCTAGTGCACTCAGTGGGGTCCAGGATCAGCCAGGCCTGGGAGTGCCCCCTGCCCAGACCACGCCATGAATCATCAACTGCAATGAGATGGAAAATTCCAGATGTCAAGAGACATTGGAGCAGGGGTTTCACCCACCCTTCAGTCCTCATCAAAATCACACCAGGCCACGTTCGGAGGATTTGGACCTTCAGTGGCCCCATGACTCTGTGCCCTGGGATAGGCACGGCCCCTGTGGTGTCTGGGGGAGGATGAGAGAGGAGGTTCTTCCAGCGTTGTACACAAACCTCCACAGGCCGGATGGTGGGAGAGGGATCCTGACTCTTCTAAAATGGATTTCCCTGGATCAGGCATTGTGGGCCCAGGGTGAAATTCAATCGCCACTGCCCAGGGTGAGATCCTACTTCTTTCTGTTTCACCTGAGATATAAAAGGATAATATTCTTTCTAATTCATTCAGTAAGACATGCATGGGACACCAGACTCAGGAAGGGAAAAAAGCAGCCTGCTCTGGAACCCCGGCGTGGACACTGGGTCTTGGGAGGTGGGGGTGGAGTCGGTGCCCCTCTCCCATGCTGGCCCAGAGTTCCTCTCTCCAGGCCCCATGGCCATCTCCATGCCAGGCCTGGGATGGGGTGAGTGGCAGAGGGACAGAAGACCCAGCAGCCTTAAGCTCCTTCCTTCTTTCCCTGGGCCTCAGTTGGGGTAGGCGGGGAAGCAGGGTGGACTCTGTGCCATTGGGGTGTGACCCTCGGAGAACCCTGGAGGGAGACCCCATATGTAGGCTGAATGCCCTACCCCACCCCAAGTTCTGGGGGGAGGTGGCTGTCTTTGCAGTCCCCATGCTTTCATTCACACCCCGGGGCACTGACCCCAGCCAGTCCCCCCTTTTACTCTCCCCCCAGAAGGAAGGCTTAGCCCAGGCCCACAGGGAAAACCACAATTTGCTTCTGACAGGGCACACTAAGGGGTTTCTGGCGGCTGTGCCCCCTTTATGTCCCCAGAGCCATTGTGGGCATACAAGAGCTGCCCACAGGCCTGAGAGGGTGGAGGAGCCGACAGGAGGCTGGGAACGCCCACCCACTCCTCGTGGAGCTGCAGGAGTGGGTAAGGCAGCCTGCGGGAGCCCTGGCTTTATCCAGATCCTCAATCGTTGATCCTGCCACCATCCTGCTGTCCCATCTGAACAATGGGCACTGAAAGAATTCTCCCTAGAAGAACACTGGGGGTACCTGGAGGGTGATGAGAGAAAAAGCCCATTTTGCAGATGGGAAAACGGGCTCAGAGAGGGGCAAAAGCAGGGATGTGTGGACTGAGGACAGAATTGTCCTAGGCTCAAGGCCGGGGGCGGGGGGGTTCCATTTTTCTCTAAGCCACGGATTCTGACTGGTTTCTCATTGTGGTAATATTTCCTTCTATAAGAGATTCAAGGTTACAGGGAACCCCTCTGGGACCAGTCCTGCTGAGATGGCTGCTAGTCCATACAGAGCCCATATGTACCTCTGTGCAAATGAGGAAAAGGTGTCCTCTTGGGTAGACACAGCCTGCACCAGGGCAAACTACTGGCGAGTGAAGTAGGGCTGGATTTCCATCCACTCTTGCCCACTCAGCAGGCACCCCCTCCAGTACACAACGGTGCATGGAGGCCCTAGACACAGTCCCTGCCCTCACAGAGCTCACAGAGATGGCTCATGAGGGCACAAGCACAATGCATGATCACAAATTGCCTTAAAGTAAATATTCTGGATGATGTTTAGTGACAGACGGGCTTCTGTGGACAAAGTAAAGGATGGAGGCCTTTCCAAGCAGTTGACATTTATTCAGAACCTGAAAGATGAGGAGATAGTCATGCAAAGAACCAGAGGAAGAGCCTCCCTAACAGAAAGAACAGCATGTGCAAAGGCCCTGAGGTGGAAGGAGCTTGTCATGGTTAAGAGTAAGAAGGTCAAAGAGGCAGGCAGGGTCCTTGTGAGTAACAGTAAGGAGCCTGAGTTTGATCTTGAGGGCAGTGGGGGACTGCTGAAGGGTTTAGGCAGGGGTCACATGAGGAGATAGATGGGTATGTGACTGGGTTGGCAGATATGGAACTTCATACAGAAAAATCCCATTCTATGAAACTAGTAAGTTAGCCCTGCTCTCACCTCCTATCTCGTTCCTTTCAACATCAATCCAGGATAGAGGCAGGGGAGGAGGAGAGAAACGGGACATGCCAAATCTAACTGCTGAATGTCTCCAATTAGCCACACCTTCTGAAATGGCCTCTTGAGCCAATGGGAAAGCAGTCCAGGAAACAGAGCTCCCATCCTGCTGTCCCAGAAAGGAAGGCCCCTCTGTGGCTCTCCCTCAGAGACAGGTCCAGGGCCACTGGGGCCGCAGAGGACTAAGACTTTTAAGTCAAATGTGTTAGCCGCTGCTTGAATTGGATGGAGAGGGCTTTCCAGGGACTGAAACTGGACTTGAGTTGTGCCAGGTGGGCAGGAGGACCCCGGGTTGGTGAAGCGGCAGAGAGAGGATAACGTCTGGGCAAAAGGACGGCCTTAGGGTTCCTGCTTCCGCCCCCAGCAGGTGCGATGCCGACGATGCTGGGCGTGTGGCCTCTGCTTCTCCTCTGAGGTCTGGTGACTCCGTGCCGGGGGCTGCTTGAGACGGTGGGCATGCTTGCTCGGATTGACAAGGATGAACCCGGCAAAGGTGAGCCCGAGGCGGGCAGTGTGTGACGGGTCCAGCTGCAGAGTAAACCGCCCCAGAGACAGGCTCACGTGCTTATGCTTCAGGAACAGATGAGAACAGGTTTTGATTCCCAACTGCATAGGGAGTTCAGGGGGTTAAAGGTTTGCTTGCAGGTTCCAGTGGGCGATTAGTTCACTCTCTTCTGAGAGGTGAACCGGGTGGGAGGGGCATGTGGGGCCTGTGTCTCCCTCAGGGATGGGGGCGGGGGCGGTTGAGGAGGTCCAGGGGAGGGTGCTGGCTGGGCCAACATCTCTGCCCCACGTTTCTGGGGTGGGGGAACTCCACTGGGCATTTGCTGCTCCAGGGCTCAACGGCCCAGGGTGACCATAGTTGTGAATAGCAAATGCTTCACGGAGGCTACCCTGGCCTGCTGCAACCTCCACGAGGCGGTCCCTTCCATCTTGCCCTTCTCACAATCCGCACAGAGTCAGATCAAGGGTGCCCAGGAGGGGCAGAGGTTGCCTCCTCCCTCTTGATCGTTCCCTGGTGGCTGCGTGCTCCCTCCTTTACTTCTGCCCCAACTTTCGGTGCTACCGGGTGACACAGGGTCAGGAGCCCTAGTCATACTCTTGGTCCCAAACCCAATTTGCTGAGTGACTTTGGGCAAATCTCTGCCCCTCTCTGGGCCCTAGCTTCCTCATCTGTAAAATGAACCTTCCTCCCCACCACCCTGTTTGCAGCCATCCAGAACTCGCTGGTCAGGGGGCCCATTTTGCAGAACATGCTGGGGACTGTCACATCTGTGAACTAGGGCCTCCTGGGCTCAGGGGGCCTGCTTGGAGGAGGTGGCCTGCTGAGCTACGGAGGGGTTCTTGGCATTGTCAAGGAGCTTTCTGGGTGAGTCCTTACAGTGTGGCCGCTTGACCACCTACCTACTGCATGCCCTACAGGAAGTCTGCTCTTTTCTTTCCTTCAGGGAATAGAGAAGATGTTGACTCTTTTTAATTTGTTGGCAGGCAGTGGGAATTTCATGGGGAGCCTGGACAGGGAGTCCCAAGAACCAGAGTCAGAAAATAAAGAGTCTACTGCGTGCCAGGCAGCATGCCCCTGTGGTTGAGGTTTCCAGCTCTGGGGTCAATTTCAATTACTCACTGTGTGACCTGGGGCAAGTTGCTCAGTCTCTCTGGGCTAATCCAAGTTGCTCTCTCTGGGTTAATCCAGGTATCTGCATGGCTCCCTCCCTCCTCCTCTTCAGGTGTCTGCTCCAAAGACCCCTGCCCTGACCAGCCTCTCCTTGTCCCCTTGCCTGCCTTCATGTTCTATAGGGAATGAATCACCCCCTCTACCCCATATATTTCACTTTTTTTTTTCTTATCTCCCTTGCTAGATTATAAACCCCAGGAGGGCTAGGACTTTTGTCTGGCTTGTTCACTGCTGTGTCCCCATTATCATAAATAGTGCTTTTTTTTTTTTTTACATCTTTATTGGAGTATAATTGCTTTACAATGGTGTGTTGGTTTCTGCTTTATAACAAAGTGAATCAGTTATACATATACATATGTTCCTATATCTCTTCCCTCTTGCGTCTCCCTCCTTCCCACCCTCCCTATCCCACCCCTCCAGGCAGTCACAATGCACCGAGCTGATCTCCCTGTGCTATGCGGCTGCTTCCCACTAGCTATCTACCTTACGTTTGGTAGTGTATATATGTGCATGCCTCTCTCTCGCTTTGTCACAGTTTACCCTACCCCCTCCCCATATCCTCAAGTCCATTCTCTAGTAGGTCTGTGTCTTTATTCCTGTCTTACCCCAAGGTTCTTCATGACATTCTTTTTTCTTAAATTCCATATATATGTGTTAGCATACGGTATTTGTCTTTCTGTTTCTGACTTACTTCACTCTGTATGACAGACTCTAGGTCTATCCACCTCATTACAAATAGCTCAATTTCGTTTCTTTTTATGGTTGAGTAATATTCCATTGTATATATGTGCCACATCTTCTTTGTCCATTCATCTGTTCATGGACACTTAGGTTGTTTCCATCTCCTGGCTATTGTAAATAGAGCTGCAGTGAACATTGTGGTACAGGACTCTTTTTGAACTATGGTTTTCTCAGGGTATATGCCCAGTATTGGGATTGCTGGGTCATATGGTAGTTCTATTTGTAGTTTTTTAAGGAACCTTCATACTGTTCTCCATAGTGGTTGTACCAATTCACATTCCCACCAGCA